GATAAGTAGGCGTAGTGGTCTGTAGTGGGGTTAGGTTTATTGGATGAAGTAGGTGATAGGGTTGTCAGACCCGATGGTGAAGGACCACTGTATGGTGGGTGTCATAACGGTTGTAAGAGGACACTGGATGGCCGTGTCAGACGATGTATAAAGACAGTAATGGCGGTCATGTCGGACCGTTGTAGCAGACAATGGTAAAAGTGACAGTTGTTGTGATAGTTTACAGAGTCTTTGCTGGACCCATAAAAGGAGCTAACCGGGATCAAGTCGCGACAGTTACCGAGTCCTTGTCGACCCATAAAAGGAAAGCTAAGCCGGGAATCCAATGTCGGACAGTTACGAGTTCTTGTCGACCCATTAAGGAGCTAACTGGAATCAATTGTCGGGACAGTTTACAGAGTCTTGTCGGACCCATAAAGAGCTAACCGGAAATCAATGTTGGGGACAGTTTACAGAGTCTGTCGGACCCATAAAAAGTCGCACCCTCAAAAGGGTGTGCCCAATCTTTTCAAAAGCGTTGCCATAAAAAGGCGCAATAAAAAGGCATGCCCCATATCCATAAAAAGGCGTTGCCAGCATATGATTGGCGAGGCACGTGAGTGCCTTGGCTGGCGCGCCGTTGTGTGTCTGGCTCAGTGGCGCGCGATACGCGTGGCTGCCTCGGCCGTATTTAACAAGACGGGAGGCTGAGGCTGAGGCTGAGGGCCAGAAGCTGAGACAGAAAAAAGCTGGAGAAACCTCTGAAAATTTCTTCGTGGTCCTCTGAAAAATTCTTCGTGTTCTGAGAGAGATACTCTGGAAATATTCTGGATCCAACCTTCTCTGAAAAAAAAAAAAAAAAAAAACTCAGCAACCGCATACATGGCCTCGTCTTTCCCCGTTCAGCTACCCAGAATATGGCCTCTTCGATCTCGTAGTCTGCTCACTCTCTTTCCCGACCTCAACGAGTCAACAAGAGAGGATTAACTGGTGCGGGTGGCACTGGAACCTCAAACCAAAGCGCCCCGGAGTTTGCTCCGTTGAACTTTCCTATGCGGTCTGGGAGCAAAGAATGGCCGCAGTGCAGTCGGATGTGGGAGGCCAATCCCAGCTTATACATTGAAGTCAGTGTGGAAACCATGACTGCGATGTCACAAACTTTGTACGCAACCGGCTGCAGAGTAGGACCAAATGAGGTGCAAGCAGTTAAAACGCCCAACTGGCTCTGCCCAACGCAATGTATAAGGCTATGCGCGAGCAGAGATTAAGTGTGCTAAAGGCGGAAAACATAAGCGCAGCTGAAGTGGAAAGGCCACCGTTATGTTCCGTATTTGGAGGGCGCCAATGCTGCAGTGGAGGAGTAGCTGGGGACGTGACAGTGCTCCTTTACATCTCATGCGCTTGCGCCGATGCAGGCGGCTTAAGAACAGGATATGCAAGGATGGTGGACTCTAAAGACAGTCCACACATAAGAGCTCTGACCATGTATACAAGTAGCAAGAATATATTAATCAATTATAGACGGCTGCGTCAGTAGATTTCTACACGTTAAGAAATAACATATCCACTGTGCTGTTGTATGTCTTTATGATGTTGTGTATCCATTGATATAATCGCTAATTATTCTCCATATTGATATATTTGAGTCTCCATAAATGTGCTAAAATTCTGCGATATGATCGGGTTGAGGAGCCCCGACATGAATAAAAGGTGTTTTGGTGTGCAGTCCGTCTTCTTCCTTTTTTTTTTTTTGCAAGAAATAATAATGAAAAAAGGTTTTCGTGGCCCACGGGTTTTGAAAAAAACCTGCAATGGGTTTGTTTGGTTTGTTTTATTTTTTTTTTTTGTTTTGTTTTGTTTTTTTTTTGTAAAGAATAATAATAATAATAATATAGTAATGGAAGCATGTGCGCTGGCTGTGTGTGGTTGGTTGTAAAATGGATGAAAAGAAAAAATAAAAGAAAATAAAAGAAGGGAAAGTAAAAGTGGTTTGAAAAAAAAACCGAGAGAGAGAGAGAGATGTCTCTGTGTGTCTGGTTTGCTCAGATTCAAAAGGTTCCCCTGGCTTGTCTGTTTCACAAATTCCACGGCGGTGTTGATGAGCATCTTTTAATCGAGGTTTGAAGCCATTTGAATGGCGACTGTTCCAGGGCCTCTCCCAAGAAGAAGCCATTGAAAGCCAAGTTGCTCCTTGTGTTTGGAGGTGTGGAAATGGCGACTGTTCCGGGCCCTCTGATATGGAGATCGTGAAAGGAACAACTCCTTTCGATGAGGAAGAGTAGAATCCGAACATTTCGAGGATCCGGCTTGATAGGATTTTGATTGGGATCGGCCATACAGAGATGTGGCGATGCGAACGGCTTCGAGGAGGCGAGGCGACCGGTCGGCGACGACGGTCGGCGGTTGTAATCCGGGGATCTCGAAGGAGACGGCGACGTGGGCATCTTGCTTGCGCATATGGAGCTATAGCCATGACCCCATAGCTCACAGAGGAGAGAAAAAGAAAATAGCCAGAATACATGGATTTCCAAAACCCAGCAAAAGAATGCCAGTGGATTCAAAAAGAAATCAAGTCTTTTGTCCAAACTTCAGTCCAGAGAAGTTCCATTTGTACTCAAAGCAGTAATAAGCATACATCCAGGAAAGAAGTAAGAAATTCAGCATCTTCCCAATATAACGTATGTATCCTGTACAAAAACTCTAGGAAGAATACATTCAGAGGAGGACTTGAATAGCACCTGTTCAGCTATTCCATTCATGACTCCGAGTCAGTAGGTTAATTCCGTCTGAGTTGCTTTCGGCGAGCTCGATAGCTCAAGTAACGTATTTCCAGATTTTGCATGCGCAAGAAAACCATACTTACATGTCATTTACCACATGCCTGCTTATAATAAAGCTGAATAGTGTACAATGGATGTTGGAGAGAGAGAGCTTCTGTGAAACCATGAGAAGCCAGAGAGTAGTGATGCCTGCTTTAGTTTTGGTCTCCAAACTATCATGAACTGCCCTCTACTTCCCATCTTTGGAGAGAGAGAGAAAGACCCATGTATGTTATATCTTTGTACCCCACGAGAGTGGTTATCTTTGTATGTAGAGAAGTCGCCTCTGGTGGCGGCGAACTGGAAGCTATATGTATTTATAAGAGAGGAACACGGGAATAGGATGAGGTCCGGCGGCGGCTAAGGTAGGTTGCCTGCCCGCCGGTGAAGCGAAAATCATTAGGGTTCTAAACCTGTCTCTGATTACTATGTAAAAATTCAAGTGTATAGAGAAAGAGAGAGAGAATCACATTATGTTATATATTACTGTATTATTGATTATTTATAATATCATACAATGATTCATGATTTCTTATATAGAAGAGGGTGAGTATGTAGTACGGTTAAGGAGTA